TTAATATTATATTTATTTTTTATATTATAATATATATATATATATATATATATATATATATATAATAATAATAATAATATTCATTCAATTTATTTAATAGTAATTAATTAACTTAATTATAATTTATTAATTTATATATATAAAATAATATTAATTTTTTTATATAATAATATTAATTTAATTTAATTAAAATTTAATCACATATTTAATATTAATTTTTTTTTAATTTTAATATTAATATAATATAATATTTATTATAATATTTTAATTATAAATAATATATTAATATTATATTAATAATTAATATAATATTTATATATAAATAATTATATTAATAAATTATATTGTATATTCAAAATGTTTGTGTATCACTTTTACTGTTACCTTATAATGCCCGATATAATGTTTGATCGTGAAGAAATGTGAAACGCATCCATTTATCAATACACCTTCTTTTTATTCGCATACACGCATGTATTTGTATTACATGCGTCAGGATTGCGTCATGGTTGATATACTTTCTAAATATTATACCAAGTGACATCAAATATTCTGACCGACTGACACCCTTTGCATTTTTTTCGCATTTTTCTACAATTCAATCTTGCATAAAAATCTTATTTATCTCTATTATTAGTTTTATCGTTGCGTAATCGTTATTTCCCGATGACAAAATACAGTTGACGATAATCATCCTCTTCGTGTCTCTAATACGCATTATTATTATCGTCGTGTGGTGTTTGATAATCATCGGAATTCTCATCAAAGTATGATGAATATTTCATATCGATATTTTATTACCATATCGATTTGAAAACTATGTAAACACGTTGAGCGTCACATTAGCCATCGGTGACTGACAAAAGACTTTCCATTTAGGCCACGTCAGTCATCGATGACTGACACTACACTTTCCATTTAGGCCACGTCAGTCATTGATGACTGACAACGTATAACATGATACATCTAAGTGGCGCGCGTGGCCTGACGGGGACTTCCTTAAAAATGAACGTGACGCTCAACGTGTTAAATTAGAGATTAATTAAAAATCATTCAAGATTTATATTTATATCTTCTCTATTATATAGGTAATAACTATAACATTTGACTTATTTTGACTAATAAGTTATAAATATAAATAGTAGTAATCGTTAATGAAATAACAATACAACGAATATTTTCTTACTTTTTCCTCTCGAAGTCTTCTCTCTTCTTCTTTCAATCTGTTTGCTTCGGCTTTCTCAGCAGCTCGTAATTCTCGGAATCTTCTTTGTTGTTCTCGTAAAGCTGCCACTTCTTCTTCCTCTAAGACCTCGATCAAAGCTTGCTTAATAGTCTTACCAATGATTACTTCGACAATTGGCTGTACTTCAAGATCGAAATCGAATAGCTGTAAAACAATTATTCTATCAAAAATCCTCGATCGTAGATAATATATACCAGTGATTTTCAAAGTGGGTGCTGCAGCGATTCAGGAATGCGGTAGAAACATTAACCCTTTAACACGTTGAACGCCACGTCAGTCATCGGTGACTGACACTAGACTTTCCGTTTAGGCCGCGTCCGTCACGGGTGACTGACACGTTCAACTATTTTTTCAATACAAAGTAAACGCCTGTGGCCTGACAGGAATTTCCCTAAGAATTCGCATGGCGCTCAACGTGTTAACTAGAAATTATTCATATTTTCTCTTATTTTTTAACGCTTCAAAAAATTACGGTCTGTTATGAAATATAATAAATTATAATAATTATGTATTTTATTTTCATTATTACAGAATGCTACTATTGCTTTATTCGAATTTACGCAAAGTATTTACATTTTACCTCTTACATTCGTATAAATAAAGATGAGTTTGCGAATTCCTAAAATATTTATTACTGTAAAATCAATTGCTCTAAAATTTTTTGTTTTCAACGATTTATATTATCCGCTTTAGTAAGCAAATTTTTTAAATAAATGAACAATCATCTGTTTCTTTTTTTTTTTTGTTCTTTTTTTTACGATAATAAAAACATTGCAAAATATACAGTAGAAAGTGGAAATAGGACTTAAGAACGTAGTTGCAATGAAAATTCTTTTAAATGATCTGAAAATATACATCATTTTTTACGAGATAATATACACTGGTGCATAACCATAAAGTTTATGTACCTGTACAGAACATAGTTAACCTGTAAATAACATGTAAAGTATACAGAAATATTCATATCAAGATACCAATCGTTTATTTCTCTCATCTTTATTTTTTCCTCTTTTCTTTTCTATCTTGTATATTTTATCCTTTTTCTAGTTATTGTTTGTATGCATTGCTCTTGACTAGATCATCTCACGTTTATGCAAATCATAGAAATATGTAAAGAAGCGTAACATGCGTATAAATAGGTACATACATATGCATGAAGTGTATTATAGGATTCGCATAATAACGGTATTAATAGTGTAATCCGCCTGTGACAACACGTTTCTTACAACTCACACATACACACACACACACACACACACACACATAATGTTTTATTATTATTATTATAATATATATGTAATTGATTATAAAATCCGTTAGATAGAAAATTTTCTATATTTAATAAAACACTTTTTATATAAATACCTATTTTTATGTTTTATGAACTACGGGATCATTAATTGTTCTAAATATAAGAAACAGAATGTTCAAGGTGTAGATATAATTATGAAAAATGTACAGTCAACTCATAGTTGAAATAATTGTAGGTACTGTTATTGCCATATCTACATACATATATACATATATACAGTAGATGTAGAAAGTATTCGTACTACGATCAATTTGAAATAAAATGTTGTGAAATTGTAGTTTTTATAAACGATGAATTTATACATATTCTTGAAAGTATCTACAATACATCTAATGAAACAACAAATTATTCTTTTGGAATAAATTATAAAATTGACAAGGAATACGAACAAATTGGCAGAAATATACGAGCAATAAGTATTCGTCCAGTTCTTATTTTGAAATATTTATAAGAGAGTTCGTATATATTAGGTGGAAAGTAATGTCGCTTTCTAACCTCAAAATTCAAACAAACAAATTTTTCAAACAAGTTTTTATTATTAATCAATAATTAAATTATTTAACAAAATAAATTAATCACGTTATCAACAACCTTTTTCTATCTGGTATGCAAATTTTTAATATCGTAACGATAAAAATCATCAATCGGTTTTTTGATTTAAAATATTAGAAATAATTTGACATGCGTAGTARCGACATTACTTTTCGGTCCTCCTAATAAATCATAATGTAAACACATCACGTGATTGCTTTCCAGTTATAATTGACTTCGTCAGTATGTTTGTGAGC